AAATAATTATGAGAAATTAGTGTCAGTGACCTCTAAGTGACTATTGCAAAGCTAGTTATGGTGTTTTCCAAATATCCACAAAAGATATAAACTGATCCTAAAGAATAATTGTGAAATCAGTGACTTATAGATGACAGTGTAAATCAAGTCAAATATGAAATATTTTCCAAATTCATCTCCTTTCTCCTACATCGAATCTTAAAGAATCTGCTTACTTTTTCTTTGCCCTTTATGTAGCTTTGTAGAACAAACAAATCTGCAAAGATACGTGAAGAAAGTTTAACGAGTGTTATATGTATTTTGTTGGTGCCAGTGTACATCCGTCTTTAGATTAATCTGCTTTATCTCAAAGGATTGTTGAGGGAGATACAGAACTGGGTGTATCTAGCCAGCGTCCTTTTTCTGCTTCTTCCAAGAGTGATCGGTATCAATAAGGTAGAACAGGAGGGATACAAAGACATGGTCAGGGGTTCCTATGGAAACAACACTGTTTAGCCAGACATGGAAATCTAGAAGAGAAACTAAGGCGTAACCCACTGTCAGAAAAGTCCTGAACTTTTTAAGGTTTCAGTATCTAAAATTAGAAAGCAAGAGGCACTTTATTCTTTAGCTTTAAAATATATTTGATAGGATGATTAAGTTTCATTGGTATGTCCGGAAAGATTTCTAGCGCTCATGGGGTTGATCATTAAATTTGACAAAACTTTGACCTCAGGGTAGTCGTTAGTCAAATTTTTAACTGATTTGACATTAGTTAGATGCTATGTAAAAGTGCTGCTATTGAAATCAGTGCTGAACATGAACATTATGTGGGTTTCCCGTGGTGCTTTCAAGGGGTTTTGAGCAGGGCTGGAGGAGTCTTAAGGAAGTTACTCTGAAGCAGTGGTTGTGAAGCCTGGGGTTGCTTTAAAATACATAATTTCAGGGGCTGGGGATTTAGCTCAGCGGCAAAAGCGCCTGCCTGGCAAGCGCAAGGTCGTGAGTTCGGTTCCCGGTACCGGAGAAAAACCAAAATAAATAAATAAATAAATAAATAAACAAAGAAAATACATAATTTCGTATCTGATTGCAGCTAGTCAGATGATTACTAAATTTCAGAAATTCTCAGCTCTGAAGTCAGTGTCAGATTTGCCATGCTTTTAGTACTGTAAGATATTTTAGATAGATAATTTGACCATTGTATGTGCCAAGAGGGAGAGAGGAAGAATGAGAGTATGGTTTTTAGCAACTGGGGGGTGGAAGTGGTGGAAAGGTGGGTCTCCTCCCCACAGGTACATTGAGCGAACTTTTAGAAAAAGGTGTTGGGATCACTCTTTTCTCTAGCAAGGAATACAGTGAGTGTATTCCTGTTTGGACTAAGAGGGAACAGAATGGTATAGAAAGTCATAGAAGATTTTAAATTATGTAGCAATCTGAATTATATTACACCTTTTTTGATTTAGAAAAAGTTTGCCATTTATTCAGATAATAAAGAATAAAGTGCTTTAAGTACTGTACTATTTTAGCTGCCTAATAGGAGATGTCAGGACCGGGCAGCTGTTTGAATTGTGCCTATTAGCTATATGTGCCTATGTGCCTATGAACTGGAAAGGGTGAGAAAAGGAGAGGAGAACTTGTTAAGAAAGGAAAACAAATGAAAAGGAGCTAGAAAGAAGGCAGTTGCTCCTTCCTCGCAGGACCTCAGGACCATCTTTGACTTTCTTTTGCTTTTCCTTCCTTCTTTACTCTAATTTAGCAGCTGAATTCGAGGGCTCTATTTTTTCTGTTTTCATTTCCCTTTCCTTCTCCTCCCCTTCCCTTCCCCGCTTCCAGAATCCAGTCACTTCTGTTTCTTCTGCCACCTGGGCCAAGTTAGCATCATCTGTTACCTACACAGGGCATTTGCTGTGACGTCACCGCCTGCACATTGTCTATGCCCCTCAGCTCCAAGCCTGCTGCGCAGGAGGCTTCCCCCTCATGCTTCGGCTTTCTCTCAAAGCTCCTCCCCAAACCTTCCAGGCTTACATCTCTTCTCCTTCCTGGTGTTACGAGATGGCTCCTCAGGCCTTCTCTCACCAGATTGTTGGTTTGCTGGTTGTAGAGCTAGATAGAGAGATTGTAATCCCTGTTGCCCTTTTCCTAACTCTTTAATTTTTTTTCTAAATCACATTCTTATCCCATGTGCTATGTTTTGTGTTTTGTGTATTTGTGCATTGCAGGTCGCCTCCCCTGGAGGGCAGGGATCCTCCCTCTGTTACTGTTGCAGAACAGTGGTTGTGTGTGTGTGTGTGTGTGTGTGTGTGTGTGTGTGTGTGTGTGTGTTGTGGTACTGGGGATTGAACTCAGGCCCTTGTGCATGCTAGGCAAGCACTCTACCACTGAGCTACATCCCCAGCCCTGCAGAACAGTGTTTGACGCATAGTAAGGGCTCAGGGTAGACAGGAGTCATGGTGGGTGAGGGAACACTTACTCTTATGCAATGAAAGGTTCCATAATCAAAAATATAAGCGTTCCATTCTAGAATCAAAAATATAGCCAGTTTAGATCCTTAAACTAAATTGTTGTCCTTTTTTCCTTTCACAACATGAAATGTTCAGAACTGGACACAGTCCAATCTGTAGTGACAGAAAGCAGATTAATACTTCCCTAGTGGCTGGTTTCTTTTTGTGCTGAAGAAAATGTACTAAAATTGATTGTGGTGATGATTTCACAATTCTGTAAGTATTTGAGTAACACATTTAAAGTAAGTCAGTTGTGTGGTATATGAATATAGCTCAGTGAAGCTTTAAACAAACAAAAAAGCAAAAAATCCAAAACAAAATAAAACCAAACAAGAATGAAATATAGTTAAGAAGTGATAGAAACCAGGATTATGGGACTTTGGCAAGTTATCTTGACCTTCTTCAATGTGTCTTGTTAGCTGAGGATTCTAGTGCTTACCTCGGTAAATATTACTGAGCTAATTATGTGAAGGCCTTACAGTGCCTGCTGGACTTTGGAAGAAGTTTCTTATGTAATAATTGTGAAAACTGGTGACTCTCATGACAAGGAAGAGACAAACCAACGGAAATGGCCAGCACTGTAGCTGCATTCAGACATCTCTCATTAAAATATTTGCATTTGTTAAGTTTTAGTCTGTTTCTCAAAGAGGAAGTGAGGCCAAGGTGAATAAGCCTACCTAGAAAAGCTCAGTAAGAGGACAAGTGAAACCCTAACTCCTTACTCACTGTCACATTGGACCACCCGGGGGAACTGATGATAGTGGGCATTTTTGGTTGAGGCGTTTATGTAAGCATGTTTTAGAAGTCATGAACCTTATCACTGTTTTACACCCAAGTGTATATTTTTAACGGGATCACAATCTCAGGTCTCATACAATAGGATGGATTATATTCATGGGTACCGGGAATTGAACTCAGAATGTCACGCTTGCCCGACAGGCACTGTGCCGTTGAGCTATATCCCAGCCCTAGGATGGATTATATTCAATATGTGATGTGTATACTGCAGAAGGACATGTTACATATCTATGAGAAAGACGTGCATTGTTATACTTTAAAAGAAGGGAGGTTTTGTTTGGGTCACTCTTCTTTTAGGGATGTTTTTATTAACTGAGTATTTAATTACTAGGCATATACATTGGTTTGGATAGTGCTGATCTCTCTTAACAAGATGCATTTTTATGGAGTACATTCGTTGTGCCTTTTACAAATAAAAACATAGTTCAGATGACCAGACCGTAATTGAAATGTAGCGCCTTTGCCTGTTAAAAGTGATCAGGTGAGTGTGGTTAAAGAGAAGAGTGTCAACCTTCCTCACAAAACTGGGGTACAATGTAAAATGCAAATCAGTATTCTTCGTGACAGTGACCAGGCAGTATATTCTTCTGGTGAGAAAAAAGCCATTATACTCCAAATTCCTTGGGTTATTAACAGTTAGAACAGAAAGTTACAATGTAAGCAGAGCCTTGTGAGCCAAGAAGGAAAGAGAAGTTATTATTAATAAATGCCTGAAGAAATAGAATCGCACTTAATGGTGCATGTATGCGTCCATATATTGAAGCATTTAGAACATTACAGTGGAAGCTGTACTTAAAGTGGCATGATTTTCACGTATTAGGAATGACATCAAATGGCTCCTCAGGCATACACTGCAGAAAGGACCATTTGCATAGATTATTATTTAGAAAACCAATATAGCCGCGCATTGCTTAATGACTGCTTGTGTTCTGAGGAATGCGTCCTTAGGCTGTTTTTTACTGTATGAACTTTATAAATGACCGACACAACATTGCTAAGACAGCTGCAACGTCACGAGGCAGGATAATCTTATGGGGCCACTGTCATGTATGTGGTCCGTCGCTGACTGAAACGTCATTATGTGGTACATGATTGTGTATGTGTGTTCACATGAAAATACCTCATTGTCTTATTCTCATATACTAGTAATATGTTGAGCACAAAATTTTAAAGGAATAATTGTAGCTTTTTCTAAAGCTCTTTTATTAAAGCCTTTGCATTTTATTGCATATTTTTGTTCTTTTCCTCAAAGATAATTTACCATAGCCGATGTTAGTAAATCCACATTTCTGCTTCAGGAACTTGAAAAACAGTAATGTAATGGGCTCTAATTGTGTTTGCCTGCAACACATTGATGCAAGCAAAAGAAGGACACTTGCTTTGCATAATGACTTACTCTTTAGTGCTTTGTGTTTCTCACTGTTAACAAAGCTAATTTATTTTTAGGAGTGATGCAATTCCAAAGCAGAAATTTGATGTCATTCTAATCAGTGTGCTTTCAGTTGCGGAGTACAATGAAGCCCTAGTAAGGATTAGTAAGAAATCTATTTTATTGTGGATAATAAATTTGAGAAGTAAGCTGTCAGCGTAGAGTGAAGTTGATCTGGCATGAGATGCTTTATGAATAGCCCTTTGAGCAAACTCGGCAGTTCTGTGTGTGGTTTTAAATCACTGTAAATTTGTAGGCAGGTACATATTACAATTGTCTGTTTTTCTTTTTAGGGTTCATGTAATCAAAGAAGTTTCTTTGTTGTGTGTATCTTTACAGAACACAACAGGAATTGAAAATGAATCAGGTGAGTTTAAAAATAAAAATTTATACAAATACATAACCTAGATGTTAGACCAGCACTTGATTTTAAAGACAGTAACACACACGTTCATTCTGCTTAGATTTTCATTTTCATTTCTTAGCACCATTTATTAGTTCTTCGCTTTCACAGTGTGCATTTAACGGAGTGGAATGTGCGTTACTCTGTCTTGGGTTGGCATTTCTGTGGGTCCTTGAGTGGCGGGCTCGTTCTTAGGGACTTCACTTCAGACTTTCTTTTTTTTTTACCTCTTGCCTGCCACACTCTTGTATGAAGTTTTGGTCTTTGTTTGTTTTGAAGCTTCGTCAGTTTTCATTTTTAACCCTTCTTGTATAATTTCCATTGCTTCAAAAGAAAAGACTGAAAGTTATTTTTTGAAACTGCAGCTGGTCAAACCCAAACATTTTAAGTATTTTGCCCTTGAAAATCCTTTTCATAGAATAAAGAGGGCAAATACTGAAATGTAGTGTGTATTTCTCTTTACAGATGGGTGTGGGATTACCTGGAGGTAACTGTTCAGCTGCGAGTATTTCTGTAACCTCACGGGTGTTCTGACAAGTAGAATCAGTTGCGTGGATTTCATTTATTCTAGAACAGCATTCTTATTTTCTCAATATCATTTCACTTGCAGTCACAGACATTTATGGGTGTCAAAAATGTTCTCTTTTAAATTCTTCATAAACACATTATTTTAAAATATGAAGAACAAAACCTAAACATTTGAAGTATGTAATGTATTTTCATTTTTAGCTTAAAACTCTCAGACTTGAAAATATTTTGTGTGCCTGTCGCCTGGAGTATTAGACGCCTTTTTATCACAAGTGCTTCTAAATAGAGATCACAGGTCATTTCATTAGGTGGCAGAGTTTAATAAATCCAGTCCCATGTTGCATTGAGAGATGTGAAATTCTTGGAGTGGATTCTTTTGATTTCTTTTCATTATGTTCTTTATCAGAAATATGTTTATTTTAATACAGAGAACTATACATCATAAGAAATGAATCTGGTGAACACATGGGGCACATGGTTTTTATTATTTTAAAAATTGGAGATTTACTGACATGCTTTTGATGGCAGATTATTTTTGAAATGGCGAAGGGGGAGGGAAAAAGAACAGAGTAGATGTTCGGTTGTCATCTGTCAAAGTTATATGAATGTACGTCATAGGTTTCATTTGCTTTCCTATTTTAAGATTGGCTTTTAAATGTGAGCTTGGTCACCTAAAGAAGCATGTTTATTTTACTCGCTGGGGACTGTGGTTAGAGGAGTCTTGATTCTAGTTAAGATTGATGGTGAATATTTCCAAAGTGGAATCTAAACATAGACTTTGTTCCTGTTGCCTGGCTGTTCACTGACCTATTGTTCGAAGTGCCTAAAACTTTAACCTTAGGCTTCCTTAAGCCTCATTCTTATACCCTGTTGGACTAGTTCTGCTTTTAACATGTTTGGACTTTTTTTTTTTTCTTTTTTGATGCTTTACGGTTTTGCTTTAATGTTCCATTTATATCACATGAACTTGTGTTCAAGGCTACATGCCGTTTAAAAGAGTTGTAGCAATACCCATTTTTCTTCTTGGCTGTTTTGCAGTTTCATTTTGCTTTTGACAAGCTTTAATATCAGATCTGTAGAGGGCTGCCTTTGATGCCAGATGCCAAAATATCAGTGGAAAAGTATCCTCTTATGTTTCTAATGGTTAGCACATTTCTGATTTGGGTATAATTTAAGTGGTCTGGTACTATTGAAAGCTTTATTTGGATTATAAAAATGGTCCACTTTTTGTGATTAAAATTTTCAGCATTTTTACTTATATTTCATTCCTGGAAGAATTTATTTGCAGCCTGTTGAGACCTGATTATTCTGTCATAGCGCCAAAATCTATCAGTATTTCTCAACAATTGTCCCGATAATTTTTAAAAATTAAGAATTATTCAGGAGAGTTTATGCTTGCACTTGCTGTCATTTTCAGCTGGTGAAAATGATCAATAAATCCATTAAAGACTTCAACATGATTACACAAAAGATGTAGGTATTGAAAATACTTGCATTTGAACAAGACTGGCTTTTAATTAAAATCCCAATGGTTGGTTTATGGTTGGAATTGTTCTCCCTGGGACCTGGTTGGCACTGCTTTGATGAGTTTTAGCTGTCAGATCTGTCCCATAATGGGCCAGGTCTCTAAGACAGCAGCACAGAAGCATTTCTTCCACCTGTACCTGCCACTGAGGTTTAGGGGCTGTGGGCATGCTGTATTGCTGCTAATGATTCCCGTAGAAGAAATGGTGGGTTCCGATGCTTGCTGCTGTTGTAAACATGGTCCCTTAAAGTGGCATTCTAAGCTGTTAGGCTTAGTTGTGTCTCTGTGTTCCATGTCCTTCCTGGCAGAGTAGCCCTGCAGGCTCCCTCTGAGCCTAGCTCTGAGGCTCCACAAGGTCCCCAGAGCAACTGTTCTGTGTCGTTTTTCCCTGTTCCTCTGTTCTTTACTCTATACTGACCCCTTGCTGCACCTCTGTCATTTCAGTGTAGAGCCAGTTAGCTTTGCCTGGGAGTCACGTTCCTTCTCAAAAGGAGCAATTACTGTGTTTCCTCTTCCTTCCTCCATTTTCTCCTCCATTTTCAGACCTCAGATAACCTTTATTCTTTAAGAATCCACACTGATCCTGATATAGTTGCTCAGTTTACTGTGAGGCTGTGTCCTGATAAATCCATTGTAAAGTCAAAAGCTGTTAGGTCAAACCGTCCTAAGTTAGGAGTCATCTATATTTAATTTTTGAGGTATTCTGTTGTATTCCTAGATGGATTTAGTGACATAATGCACATAGGCTCATAGTATCTTAGAGAAGATTCACTAGTATTTAATACCACTTGGTATCTGTCGAGTGCCTGATAAACACAGCAGGTACACTGTTAAACATGGATGGCACTTCTCTTATTAATTCAGTCTTTGTAACCAACTTTTGCGGATAAAGATATCAAGGCCCAGAGAGTTGGCTGTAGCTCGCACTTAGTCACTGCGGTAGTAAATGAAAGAGCTCTGATACCAAACAAACTCAATCTGTAAATTTCCAAAGCCCGGGTTCTTGATCACCATGCCGTACTTCTCTGTCAGTCAGACTAAGCCATAAAATGCTGAGTTAATAAGCAGCTCCAAAAATCTCAGTGGTTTAACATGGCAGTAGTTTATTTCTTGCTTTTGTTACACATCCAGTGTGGATCAGTATGGGGCCCTGCTGTTGTCGTCACTCAAAAGCCAACAATGATAGAGGCTTTGTCTTAATAAAGGACACTTTCACTTGTATGAATTAGTCAGGCTAGCACGTTGAAGTTAAAACTTGGTCAGGGGAGCAGTGCAGTCCCCTTAGGCACCTGGTAGCAGGGGAAAACTGCAATATTTGAGGACAGCCATGATAACTTACTACAACTGCCTTGATTACTGAGTCATACTTAAGTTTCTTTCCCTAAGAATCTTTATAAATTATTGCTACTAATCTTTGAAATTATTAATAATTATAATGAAGCCTCTACATCCTGATCAGTAATCTGTGTTATTGCTGCTAATCAGCAACAGGGCAATTTAGCCTTACAAGCTTGTTTTAAAACTAATAGAATAACGAAAGAAGCTTTAGTTACTCAGTGCTACAGAGCCGACCCTGAGCATTATGAAAGCCATCCCAGCTGCATGTTCTCAGCTCTCCTGAAGTTTCTTTCATTCCCTGCCGCCTGCACAGACTGCCTCCCGGCACGTTGTGGGGACTGCAGTGAAGTAGGCGGGCAGGGCTCAGAAGTTTCCGTGCTCCTGGAAGAGGCAAGGCCAGGCGCAGTAGCACAGCGTACTCCGGAGCCCCAAGACGGTGAAGTAAGCCTGTGATGCGGAGCGGCTAAGTGACGGGGGCAGGCTGTCTGGGTTATGTGCTCGGAGAAGGCCGATCAGAGGAGGTGACTGATGGTAGAAGCGACACTCAGCTTGTAGCCAGCAACCAGGTGTAGGAAGTCCCTAGGGAAGAGAATCCTAGGCAGAGTGAGCACACATGTAATGCAGAAATCCTGAGGTGAGAATGAGCTTGCTTTGAGAAACAAGGCAGCCGAGGGGCTGGAGCTTAGCCCTGTCAGGGACTTTGGGACAAGATGCTGTTGGGGTGAGGGGCAAGGAGCAGGTTTCTAGGGACGTGAGGCCATCGGGAGGCATTTCTGTTTTATGGTAAGTATAGCTGAGAAGCGCCAGACTGTGACGTAATCTGACTGCACTTTTAGACTGTCTCTCGTCGGGTGAGCGGTGGGGCAAGAGTGTGGTAACAGGCTTGTTCGTTACCGGAATTAACAGTGTTAGTAGACACTTTCTTCAGTTGGACAACTCAGTGGACCTGCAAGCTTTCAGAGAGAGTTTTTAGTATTTCTGAGCTCATTTGATTGCTGTCTTGCAAAGACGGTGTATGAAACTTTCTTGTTCCATGTGTCCATCTGTTTATTGTTACTGCAGTCGTACTCATTCCTTAGTGTGATTTGTTATTTCTATAAACTGAAACGTGTTTGATTTTTTTTCCCCATTGTTTGCCTGGGAATAGTGGCTTAGAGTCTTGTTTGCAAATTTAAACAAAAAGGAGGTTTTTTTGGTAGGATTGTAGAGTATTTTAATACCCCACAATTCTTAGAATGTTTTTGCTTGTGACAATTACTGAAATGATTATTACTAGCCTATTGTGGCAGTAATCTATCTGTATGTTAGCACAAATATACTATGAAGTGTTCTTAATATTAAAGTTACTGAAGTGAATCTTTTCTATCATCCACTGCCCTTACCCTGCAGTGTTAATTTTGATCAAACTGATCTTAAGAAGCTAATTAAATAGATTAAAAACTGAAATGTAATAATTCGTTGTTTCTATGAGTACAAATAAATGTTAGTAAAACTTGCTTATTCATATATTTTTTAAAGCTCAAAGCATTAGTATGTATTCCCACGTGAGATGGTGCACGCAGCCCACGTATGG